AACGGGCGCGAACGAGCGCGCGGCGTCGACCGGGACGATGGGGTGGCGCGACGCCGCGCTCGCGGTGACCGCGGATGGGACGCTCGCGAATGGATCGAGGTGTCGCGCGCGGGCGCGGAGCGACGTCGAGGACGGCGCGGATCCGCGGCGGGCGAGGTGGGAGGTCGAGCTCGACGTCGAGCGATGCGCGGGGTCGGGTGACGCGACGTCGAGCGGGTTTCGGGCGTATCACGTGAACGCGGAGGCGAACACGGTCGCGCGCGAGGCGGCGTTGGAGCTCGGGAGCGCGCACGGGGATTTCGGGTTGGAGTTCACGCAGAGCGTCGTCGTGCGCGTCAGGGGGGGGGGAGGGGGGTTGTTGATGATTCCTTCGAAGGCGACGTGGTCGGTGGGGACGCCGACGACGCGGTTCGACGCGTTGAAGTATTCACTCGACGACGGGAACGGCGACGGGAACGGCGACGGGAACGGGACGGAAGAATCTTCGGAACGAGACGAGAAGAAGGCGAGCGCGAGGTTGGAAATTGACACGTTGCAGAGCAATGAAAAGCCCGCGACGCCGAGGACGCTCGCGGCGAAGGTGCAGTGGGCGCACGATTTCACCAAGCGCGGCGGCGGCGGCCCACTCGCGACGTTCACGGCGCACTCGAAACCGCCATCAACGTCGCCTCGCGCGCTCGATTTGAAAGTTCGAGCGACGACGAATACATTGTCGACGCACACCGCGCGCGTCACCGCGCGAGCGAAGATTGACGATGACACGCACGCGCAAATCGTCACCAAGACAAAATTTCAGCGCGCGTCGCACGGCGTCGATCTCGAGCTCGGTCGTGCCTTCGCCCGAGACGCCGCAAGGGCCAAGATTGTCCTGCAATACTCTATTCCTTCGGGCAAGCGCGGTGCACGCGTGACCGCTGAGGACGGGAAATGGTCTTCGTACTCCGCGCGCCTGGCGCGAGACGAGTACAAAATCGAAGCCAAGTTTGCGCTTCGTCACATCCTTGAGGTCCGTCTCGGTGCCAAGTACGATCGCTCCGAGCGCGTGAGTACAACCCACTCAAAACCCAAATCCGACGCCTTCGTCGCGTTCGGCCTAGCCTTAGAGTCGTAGACGCTGTGATCCCGCAAGACGCCGCTCGCTTCGTCGGTCGCGCCCGCGTTCAGCGCTCCACGACACACAACCTCACAACGCGCCGCTCGGGCGAGACGCGGCGCGGCGTCCTCGGACGTCCCGCGCCGCGTCCCAGGCGCGATACGAACGGCCTGGTGCCCGAAATGTCGCCGAACGCGAACGACGCAGCGTCTCAGCGCGTGACACCTCCGGCACAGAATCGCCCCTCACGCGCGCACCACACCGCGGGATGGCTCGAGCTCGAGCGCGCTCTGCGCACGGTCTATATAGGGGTCGTTCGTGAGCTGAGACAGGTCGGGGTGGTCGGCATGGCGACGCTAGACCCGATGGCTGGGATGATGCTCTGGCGCGAGCAGCGAAACGCGCGACGCGAACGGAGACGAGCGGCGAAGGAGTTGGGTGAGCGCGGCGGTGGGGGGACGAGCGCGGAACGAAGTGACGTCGTGAGTCTCGAGGCGTTGAGGGAGTTGCGGTCGGCGGTGCGGTACGCGATCGGGGCGTACGGCACCGGTTCGGCGCTGGTGAGCGACGCTTCGTTGCGAGAGAAGTGGAAGAGTTTAGAGAGAAGGGGTGACGCCGGGGGGGAGTGGGCGCACGCTCGAGCGACAGAGGCGTGCGCGAAGGCGTGTGGAATAGATAAGGAGGACGTCGTTGAGGCGGAGTGGATGGGGAAGGAGTTCGCGCCGAGCTCGTTCGTGGCGGTGGATCGAGACGAGGAGCGAGTCGTGCTCTCGGTGCGAGGGACGTGGGAGTTTCATGACGCTTTGACGGACGTGAACAGCGAAAGCGTGCGATTTTTAGGTGGCTGGGCGCACGCTGGGATGGTGGCGTCAGCGTGGCAGATCGCGAAACGGATGCTTCCTGCGGTGGCGCGGTCCATGAAAAAGCACCCAACGTTTAATTTTCTCATCACGGGACACAGCATGGGCGGCGGTGTCGCCGCGTGTATCGCGATGTTGATGCACAGTGAAGACGGGGACATCGAGGCGGTCGCGCGAGGGGCAATGAGCGACGTGGACGAGCAGGAAGTACTGGAAATTTTGCGTCGCCTCGCGTCTTGCAGGTGCGTGTGCATCGCCGCTCCGAGCGTCAGTAGCATGGATCTTAGCGATACCGCGAGCGAGTACATCACATGCGTCGTCGCCGGCGCCGATGTGATACCGCGTTTGTGCCACGCGTCTGTTCGTCGACTTTTGCGTCGATTGAATCGCGCAGCGCCATCGCACGCAGTGTTCCGAGCTGTATCCTCAGCGCTCGGAGGCAGGGACAGACCAGGGAACGAGACAGAGAACGCCGAAGGCGAACGAGCAAACGATGGTTCGAGAGATGTCCCAAGCCTTAGTCAAGACGAGTCGACGTCCCCCGTGAGAAGGGTTCCAGAAGACGCTCGAAAGTGCCAGGGAGATTGGATTGACGTCGCGGACGTCGATGGACTCGAGCTTCGTGATCACTCAGCGAGCGATTTTATGGTTCAGCCTGGGAGAGTGATTCATCTCGACTACGTGCGCACGGACACCCCGATAGCGGAGTACAAGCATCCAACAGCGTTCACGGACGTGGTGCTCGATCCTTACATGATGCTCGATCACATCCCGGGCGTGTACCAAGCAGCCGTGAAGACTATTCACGACCGCGTCGCCGCCGGCGGTTCAGCCTGGATGAATCACGACGATTCGGACGACGAGGATCTGAATGACAACGAAATCGACGAGGAAGACCCTCTGAGTACGCTCCTCAGGGCTGAGACCGTTCGCGCGCGCGCGCGGGAGGGTTGGCGCTCAGTCCGAAACTTTCTTGGCATCGACGACTCGAGTGCGGACGAACCGGAAGCGACCGGGATCGTTGACACTGAACCGCCAAGCATCACGGCACCGTCGCCGCAATTATCTTCATACCCGACCGTGGACACATCGGACGAGGACATACCCGATTATTTCGGCGAAGACGCTCGAGCACGCGCAACGCACCACCGACCGTGCGGCCGCCGACCACCTGAGGACAAAACCACCTCCAATCCCTGGGACTGGCTCGCTAGTCCCTGATGTAAAACCCGCACCGATCGCCCATTCATCGCTGTATATTTCAATCACTGATCTCGCCGATCGAGCTGAAAGTCTATCCCGACCGATTGCATCCACCCGTCAAACGCGCCTCCCGTTTGGAGGCGCGTTTGACTGACTGTTGACCGCGCCCTCGCGTCTCCACATCATGACGCGCGACCGCGATCGAGCGCACGCGCACGCTCCGCCCGCTCGCGAGCTCGAATACGATATTGTCGATGCGTCGAGCGAAGTGCGTCATCGAAAGTAAACGGAGACGTGGTGACGCGCGCGCGTGATGACTTCGTTTGATTTCGATTGAATTTGAAATTCATCAAAACTTTGACACTCGGCGCGACGTGTACTGACGTGAAGGACGATTTTATTCAATCAGGCGGCGGGTCATCCGGCGACAGAGCTGCACGTGCGCGACGGTGCTCGATCTCGCGGGTGGGAGACGGCGCGCTCGGCGAGTTTCCCAGCCAGAGTCTCGGCCCGGTTGAGAGCGCCGAGCGACATTCGACAGTTACGAGTACTTTCACACGAGTCGAAGATCGCGTCGAGTGCTCGAGTGAGCGTGGTATGCGTCGATAGAGAGACCGGTGGGGTCATCGTGAAACGTTTGGGGACGCTGAGGTTCGATAGTAACGCGGAGAGCGGGTACCGGGCGAGAGAACTGAAGACTGTGCACGTCAACGTGAAGGATGCGACTGAGGTGCGGTTGGAGTTCCCGGGGTGTCACGAGAACTCGAGAAACGATGGACGCCAGGTCGGTTTGATGGCGCTGACGATCGTTGGCGAGCCCAGCGTCGGGTTCGAGCGAGGTCGGGAGGTCAACGGTGAGCAAGCACCACTCTTAGGACGCCGAGTCGTGAATCCGCTCGATGTGGACACTGAGGTGGACGCGGTGACGGCGGAGAAGATTCGCGAGGTATCGATGCGCAAAGAACGCGCAGTGAACGCGGAGGATTATGACGAGGCAAAGCGCTTGCGCGACGTCATCAACAAGCTTCGAGAATTTGGCGTCAAGGTGAAGGTTTTGCAAGAGGAAAAGCTGCGAGCCGTTGACGCGGAGGATTATGATGAGGCAAAACGACTGAAAATCGAGATCGACAAGATGCGATCGAGTGGTTACGAAGAAGTTTTCGTGGTGCCGTCGCCTCGTCCGTTGAGTGCGCGCGCGCCATCGCCAAGTGCGCCCACCGTGGAGGAGGCGGTAGTGCTGCCTCCATCGACGTCCACAGCAACAGCTCGTCCGTCCTTTTCGTTTGACGACGTTCCTATTCGCTCAAATTACGCCGATACAATGCGTGCGATGGCAAAAGACGCGCATGTTTCTTCGGCCGGACGAGATGGCGCGCCGGATTCGCTAGAGCGCGTTGCGAGTAACGCTTCGTCCACACCGTCTGTACCTCGCTCGCGACCGCAGCCGCTCGATATTTCAAAATCGAACGACTCCGTCATCGACGTGAGCGTTGCTGGCATGAGCAACGACGAGGTGCCGGCGAAGGCAATCGGTCGGCGCGTGCCTCCCGAGCTCGAAGCCGAGGCGGCAGCGTTTTTCGAGGAGGAGGAAGGGGAGAAGGCGGCAATCGTGCAAGCTGAGAAGGACAAGGACAAGGAGGATCACGAACTCCCATCGCCTACGCCCCTATCACCGTCCGAGCAAGTAAATGCCGCACCGATCATCGCCGCATTTGGCGAGGAAGTCATCGTTCGGCTCTACGGCCAGGCTTGGGTGCATCGCGAGAGCGCATTGCAGGACATCAACGCACAACTCATCAACGCTTGGGAAAGTCCTGAGTCGTCAGTATTGTTCGAGTCGGATCCTCGCGAGACATTTCACTCGCTGTGTAAGACGCTCGGCGATAGATTATTCAACGATAAGGTCGCGAATGTCACCGGTGCGGCCGCTATTACGCTCGCTTCCGCGGCGAAGGCGTTCGCGCAGCGCGTTTCTGCTCGTGATGTGCGAGACGCCGTGGGAGACTCAATCTCGCTCTTGGTGGACAAGCTCGGCGATACTAATCCCAGATTACGTGAGAGTATCAGAGAAGCGATGCACGCGTTCGCGTCTGATTCCCCGGGTGGGGTCTCGATCCTTGCACACGCTCTCTGTAAGCCCGTGCAGAAGCTCAGCGTGTGGCGCGTGCTCACAGGAAGGCTGACGTTACTTGTTGAACTTATTCCGACGTATGGTTTGGACGCGCCGGAGAAGGAAAATTCGTTCGCGCTTGAGCAAGTGATGAAGTTTGCGACGAAGTGCTTCGATAGCGCCAACGGTGAAGCGCGAAGCATGGCGGTGAAGGTTGTTTTGGCGTGCGTGGACATCGTCGGCAACAGAGTTCGAAGATATCTGCCGCGTACAATCAAGAGCGCCATAAGGGACGTCATTGAGAACGCTATCGACGAGAACGAAGATCCGTACGATCTCCGCGGGCGAAGTCAGAGCAAGTCCCCCAAGGCGCATGTCGCGGCGTACATGACGCCCTCGGCCACTCCGAAGTCTCCGCCTCGCCATGCGGATCAAGGCATGGACTGGAACGAACCATCCCCTAGCCCGAGGGACGATGTGCCCCCGGAGTTGGCCGCGAATGCGACGATGTTAGAGCGCGAGATCACGCGACGCATCGAAATGCACGGTGAGATGCATGCAGAAGTCGCGGCGGCGATGAACGACCTTGCCACGCTTTACAGCGAGAATGAAAACTTTGCCAGAGCTCAGGCTTTGTTCGAGCGCGCGCTGGCGATTCAAGAATCCACTCTCGGTGTCGAGCATCCCGAAACAGTGCAAACGCTCACGGACCTCGCGATCTGCCACCTCGATCGAGAGGACAACCGCGTCGGTCGCCCGCTTCTCCAGCGCGCGCTCGAGCTGCAGCAAAACATTCTCGGCCCAGAGCACCCGGACGTCGTCGCCATTCGCGACGTCCTCGCCTCGCTCATCGACGACGAAGATTAGCGCGCGTTTACATCGAGTTGTTATTAGAAGCCCCCCCCTTTCGCGATTCGCACTGTCTCTCGTCGCGTCGCGCACGATGACAGTTGAGCGCAAGTTCTCCCGTACGCACCGCACATCTCGTCATGTCCGCGACCACCGTCCGACGCCTCGCCGTCGCTTCCACGGTACGAACATACGCCGTAGACGCCGTCGATGATCTCAGAGCCGCGCTGCGCCACTGCGTCGAGGTGGTTCGAGCGAGAGATTACGAAACCTATCTCTGCACTTTGGCTCTCCCTCGCGCGCTCGCCCCGGCCGCGTTCGCCATCAGAGCGCTGAATTGCGAGACAGGGTCCATTGTGGGATCGGCATCTTCGAGCGACGCGGCGGTGGCGCGGCTGATGTGGTGGAGCGACGCGTTGGTGGGCGACGACGAAGGACCGGGCGGGACGCCGGCGCATCCAGTCGCGCGGGCGGTCGCGGCGACGCTCGGGCCGGAGCCGAGCGCGCGGGCGCGGACGTGGTTAAAGAGGATGGTTGAGGCGAGGATTCGAGACGCGAGGGAGGATGGGCCACCGAGGGAGATTATTGATTTGGAACGGTACGCGAGCGACGCACACGGGAGCGCGATGACGCTCGCGTTGGACGCGTGCGGGATCAGGAACACGGACGCGGATCACGCGGCCAGTCATCTCGGGAAGGCGATTGGATTGAGTGCATTACTGCGCGGGACGACGGCGCACTCGCGTCAGAGGCGATGTTACCTTCCGATTGACGTCTGCGCGCGCCACGGCGTGAGCACGGAGAGCGTCTATCGCATGGAACCGAGCGAGGGCGTGCGAAGCGCGGCGCACGAGGTGGCGTGCGCGGCGAAGGCGCACTTAGACAGCGCTCGCGCGATGACGGAACGAGTTCCGAAGGAGGCCAAGCCGTTCTTCTTACAAGCGGTGACGGTTGGACGGTACCTAGACGCGCTCGAGGCGCGAGACTTTGACGTCTTCGACGAAACCGTCGCCAAGGGCGGCGCGCCGCTCGCGACTCAGGGCGCGATCGCGTGGCATGCGTTTCGAGGGACGTATTAGAACATTAGGCAGCGCACGCATTAGCGTTCGCGACGTCGATCGATGGGCGAACGAAGTAGTTTTAGTGTGAACGTGAAAAATTTTCATCACATTCAGGTGTCTACCTCCTCAAACGGCCTCGGTCGACTCTAGCGTCTCCCACGGCGTCCACGTCGCAACTTCTAACACTTAGACTTCCTAACATTTAGATGTTGGACGGGTAAAGCATGCATCGCACCTTACCGCCGATCGAGTTGGACGGCAAGTGCTTCTTGAACTTGGCCCGCACGACGCCGCTCGGCCCGTGCGCCCGAGTCACCTTGCCCCAGATCGTTCGGAACGCCGTCCCCTGCTTCTTCGTCTTCGCCTTGTACACGTAGCACAGCTTCTTACCCGCGTAGAACGTGGTAGACGGAGCATCGCTGACGCCCTCCAGCTTGATCAACGACGTGTGGTTGTATTGGTTCGTGCGCGCGCGCTTGTAACCCAAAATCAACCCGCGCACGTACAGTCTGCGTGTTTTTAACAGTCGAAGCGCGTTCGTCAGTCGTCGCGTTCGAGTAATCCGTCGCACGTAATATGATTCCTTCCATCGACCGACGCATCACGTCCACCGATCGCCGCGCGCGTCGCCGAGACCTCCTCCCTCGAGTCCGCCCGTCGATGCGCTTTAGGGTCTCACGCGCGCGCATCCTTCGTCCCAATCACACCGCGCGCATCCCTCGTCTCCGCCCACGCGCGCGCACCAGTCGCCGGCACGTAAACCATCGATACATCCCCGACCTCGTCCATCGCGCGCGCGTCCATCGCGATCGCGAATCCTTCGTCCGTCTCCACCGCGCGCCGTGGTCGAAACCCCAAACGATGACGATCCCGCGCCCCGCCAGCGCGCCCGCCCACCCACGCGCGCGCCGCGTCGACCGTCCGCGCCGTCGCGTCGAACGCGCGTCGCGTCGACGCACCTCGTCGGCTCGCCCTTGGCCATCGTGCGCGCGTCGTACAGAGACGGATCGATCGCGTCGCGCGCGCGATTCGTCGAGGGCGTCGCCGTGGGTGGCGTCGACGCTAGGTTGGGTAAAATCTGAATCACCTTCTACATCACCACCCGAAACACGGTGATTTGAATCACCTTCACCACCCATGGAAGGTGATTTAACCTTTCGAGCTCGCACGAACCGTTTCGACGTGGGGTGCTAGGGTTCGAACAGTGACGCAATGTACTTATCATCACTGTATTTCCTCGACACCGGTGACGAAATGTCGTATTATCAGTCACATGATGTCTATCACTGTAAATATCAGAAAAATGATAGGCTTTACATACACGCACTATGAAATCACCTTCTAAATCACCACAAGGTGATTTGAAATCACCATCACCACCCATAGAAGGTGATTTACCCAACCTAGGAAGTGGACGCCCCGGGCGGGCGGGCGCGCGTGGGCGTGTACATAGGTATCACGTGACTATTTCTATGAATACAAACATAGTACTATAGACACTAATAATATCATGTAGAGCGGTGATACGTCATGGCTCTGTTTGAATCAATGTACGACGCGCGCGTGGACGCCACCACCCCGTGTGGGCGAACAGTCTGACATGGCACACGTCCACGCGCAGGCCCGCGACCGCGATCGCGCCTCGACGACGCGCCCGCGTCGCACGCGCGCGCGCGGACGCGCGATGGGATACGTGCCCCCGCACCTGCGAGGCGGCGGCGACGCGAACGCGAACGCGAGCGCGGGCGACGGGCGAGACCACGGACGCGGGAGTGGGCATCGGGACGACCGAGGGCCGCCGCCGGGTCGACGGCTCGACGACCGCGACGCCGCGCGCGGCGATGGACGCGGCGGTGGGGCGGCACGCGGTGGGGCGCACGCGCCGGTGTTCGCGGCGTGGCGACCGAGCGCCCGGGCGGAGGCGCTCACGACGGCGCAGGCGACGGAGATTCGCGAACGCTTGGGGGTGACCGTGGACGTCGAGGACGGCGAGCCGGAGGCGCCGAGCGCGATCGAATCTTTCGAGGACATGGAGTTGAAGAGGGATATTCTGGCGGACATTAAGTTCAGAGAGTACGATAAGCCGTCGCCGATTCAGGCGCAGGCGATTCCGGTGATCCTGAGCGGTCGGGACGTCTTGGGGTGCGCGGAGACGGGGAGCGGTAAGACGGCGGCGTTTTCGATTCCGATGATTCAACACGCGCTGAATCAAGCGCCGCTGAGGCAAGGGGACGGGCCGTTCGCGATCGTGATGGCGCCGACGCGGGAGTTGGCGCAGCAAATCGAGACGGAGGCGAAGACGTTCACGCGAAGCTCCAAGGGGTTTAGAACGGCCATTATCGTCGGTGGGACGAACATGAGCGAGCAACGAAGCATGTTGCGAGGCGGAGTGCAGATCGTCGTCGCCACCCCGGGTCGCTTGATCGATCACTTGCAGCAAGGGAATACAAACCTAGCCCGAGTGTCCTTTGTCGTCCTCGACGAAGCCGATCGCATGCTCGACATGGGTTTCGAGCCGCAGATCCGCGAGGTACTGATGAACTTGCCCAAGCCGCATCAAACGCTTCTATTCTCGGCGACGATGCCAGTCGAAGTCGAGGCTTTGGCCGCTGACTACCTGAATAAGCCTGTCAAGGTGAAGGTGGGCCAAACGAGCGCTCCCACGGCAAACGTGTCCCAGCAACTCGAAAAGGTTGTGGACGCCGAAAAGGTGGATAGACTCGTCACCATGCTGATAAGTGAGCAGCGCGAGGCGCAGAAGCTCGGCCACAGCATGCCCATGACTGTGGTGTTCGTTGAGCGTAAGCACCGCGCTGACGAGATCGCCGAGCTCCTGAACGCGGAGAATGTGTCCGCCGCTGCGCTTCACGGCGGTCGCTCGCAGGGTGAGCGTGAGGCGGCACTTCACGATTACAAAACGGGTCGATGCTCCGTGCTCGTCGCCACCGATGTTGCCGCTCGCGGTTTGGATGTGAAGGGCGTCGCCCACGTCGTCAACCTCGATTTACCGCGTAACTTTGAAGACTACGTCCACCGCATCGGTCGTACCGGTCGCGCCGGTATGTCTGGGCGATCGACATCCTTCTACACCGACCGTGACTCGTTCATCGTGGCTCAAATCAAGCGCGCGCTGATGGAGCTCGAGGCTGGCAACGCTTTCGCCTTTGCCACCGGTCGCGAGGCTCGCGCCAAGGAACGCGAGGAGGCCAGGGCCTGGCGCGAGGGCAAGCAGCACGAGGCTGCCGTCGTCGAGACCGAGGGCGGGGTCACCATCACCGTCGAGGACAAGTTCAAGCACATGATGGTAAGCGCGCCCGTCGCCGCACCGGGCGCCGCCGCGCCCGCCGCCGGCGTCGCCGACGACGCCTGGGGCGATGGATCCGACGACGACGCCTGGTAAAATCCGTTGAAATTAGCCACGCGATCGTTCGCGATCGCGTCGTTTTGCGATTAGTTCCACCGCGCGGTGCTTTGTCATCGCCCACGTTCCGTTGCACCGCTCCGCGACTCGGTCACGCGTTCACTCCCAACGCCTCACTCCACGACGACGACGCGCGCCGCGCTCGCGTTCGTCTCGTCGCGACGCACGCGTCATCCACCGCATCCGCGCCCCTCTCGAGCGCTTTCGACGGAGGACGCGACGCGACGGGGCGAAGGATGTCCCGCTCGCTCGTCGACGTCGCCTTTCGAGCGACGACGTTCGGATTGTTCGCCACCACGGTCGTCGCTGGCGGGTGGTTCGTCGCGACGGCGGCGAAGGGTTTCATGCACTACGCCGAGGCGAGCGAACGGGCGAAGCGTGCGGAGGGGGGCGGCGGTGAGGGAGTGAGCGCGCGACGGTAGGAGACGACGGACGGAGAGCGACGAGCGAGGCGGAAGGCGGAAGGCCGGCGAGGGTTGTTTTTAGATCAAATAGCGCGAATTTACATGTAAAAGATTAACGAATCGGGTCCTCGTCGCGGACGAAGGAGAGGAGCTTTCGGACGATGCGCTCGCCGTCCTCACGGATACCGGAGTGCATGTACTCGGACGTCGCCCACACGCGAGCGCCGTTAATCTTGGCGGCAGTTTCGGCGGCTAAATCGAAATCGACGAACATGTCTTCCACGTAACTGGCACACGCGACCGGGACCGTGTTCTTGGATAAAGCATTCGTGTCGTACAACTTGGGCCAGTGCTCATGTAGCAACAGAGCTCCGCGAATCTCTCGGTATTTCACGAGTGACGGAATGTCATTGAAGAAGTCATCGAACACCATCTCGCCCGTGAAATAACCTATATCAGGGTACGACTCATCTGCGCTGCCTGCCCAATCGCCCCGTCCATATGCCTTATCCGCAGCGCCGTAAGCGTTCGCACCGTTACAGTAAATGCTCTCATGAAGGATGGCGTACAATGGATTCGTCTCAAAGTGTCGAAAGGCGTTTTCGACCTCTATGAGAAACTTGTGAGTCAGGGGCTTCTCGAATGTGGACTCAGGTTCGACGTGTTCGAGAATGTAGTGCAGGCGTTCCATTCCCTGAGCGGTGCCGAGATTCGCGAAGCCAAGGGCTTGCACATGCGTGTGCGTAAGTTGACCTCCGCCAGGCAACGAAGTGCTCGCGTTTCTTATGTGCTCATGCAAATACTCGATTCGTTTCACGTCCGCAGGGAACCGCTTCCGAAATTTTTCGTTTTGCGTCTTCACGCGCTTCATCAGCCTAAGATACGCCTCGAACGCCGGCGCGTCCGCATCGATCAGAGGAGGTAGACCGCCGGTGAGGAGTGCCTCTTTCACACCTTCTGGATGAAACGACAGATACGTCGTGATGCAAAACCCACCAAAACTCTGACCCAATAACGTCCACTTCGTGTTTTCACCGAGAAACGTCTTGCGGAACAACTCGGCGTCTCGAACGATCGAGTCCGCCCTGAAGCACTTTAACAAGTGGACCCATTGTTCTGCCGCGTCGAAGCCGTCGGTACCGGCAACAATCAGAGTCGGACGCTCCAACTCATCCTCGGAAGAACGCGTCGGCCGAAGAATCTCCGCGTTACTCTTCCCAGTTCCGCGCTGATCCATGAGAAACACGCGATGATCCTTCGTAAGCTCTCCCAACCAACCGCTCGCCTCGGTCGGCCTCCCGCACTCGAACCCGGGTCCGCCCTGCAAGAATAACACGCACGGTAACCCCACGCGCTCCGCCGCGCTCGCGTTCCCTCTCTGCGCGCTCACCACCTCACGAAAGAACACTCGGATCGTGTGCTCGTCGTCCGCATCGTGCGCCAGCGGTGCCTGCGGCGAGTCGCGTCTCCGTCAGTCCTCGTCCTTCGCGCGAAGTCAACGACTGTCGCACCGTGAGGTAATGATCGCTCAGGTGCAATCCCTTGACGCGAAACGTCTCCGTGGTCACTACCTCGCCTGCGCGAGGAGGACGCGACGCGGACGACGCGACGTCGACACCATTGTTTGGACCGGCACGAAATTTATTCACTCTGTCAACAGCCCTTTCACCGCTCGCGCGCGCACGCTTGGGCGCTGGCATGACGCGCGCACGCGCTTTCGATGTGTGTGCGTTCGCTTGACGCGCGAGCGAGGTCGGGGTCAATCGCGCGGCGCGCATGCTAATGCGGTTTGGGATAACCGTCGCAACTGCGTTGTTGCGTCCGCTGGTGAATATTAAAAACCAACTCTAATGGGTTTTCCTAATAAAATGTGATCGACTAGTCGATCTTTTCGTTCATCAAATCCCCCTCGTCCTCCTCGTCCATGGTCTCCGTGATCTTGGACTCGGCTCGGCCGAGTTCCGCTCGAAGAGCGTCGACGCGGTTGTTGGCCTCGGAGAGGTCCGCTTCGGCAATGGCCGCCCCGCCGATCATCCCTCGCACCGTGCTCACGGCGGCGACGGCGCGTCGGATGGCTTCGGCCTCATTTGCCACGTCCGCCTCTTGCTCCGCCTTGGCCAGTTGCTCCTTGAGTTCTTCGTACTTTTGCATCAACTCTTGCCTGCGAGTGGTGAACTGAGACGGAAAGAGCTGCGGGAAATACTTTTGAATAAAGCCAAAGACCAACACGTGGCCGACGGGGGTGAGCGGAATCAAGAGAATGATAACGAATGGTACAAAGGTGAAGACGTCCAAAACTGTGCGACGTAAAAGTTGTACCTCGCGCGGGCGCAACGTCGTTCCAAAGGCTGCGCGCAAAAACAGGCGAGCGGACTGACCGATGTCGGTCCCCATCAGCGTGACGCCGCGCACGATGAACGTTATGGCCTCACGTACGGTCTCGGAAGCTTCTTCCACCGTGCGCGCAGCGCGCTCCTTCACCATTTCGAGCGACATCGTCGAGGTCGCGTCGTCATTCACGGCCAGACGCACCTTCATGTCCGGGATGTCCATCGCGAGCTTCCCAAGATCCTCGTCGTCAATCAGTTCGATCTGCTCGCGATCGACGAGCGAGATCAATCTTCGCAGCGAGAGATCCATGACACCGAACTCGGCCACCATGAGCTGTAAATCCGTGATCTCAGCCTTTGAGATCATGTCAGCCGGCGGAGTCGCGACTTCCTCCTCGAGCGCCAAGATGATGCGCTCCATCTCCATCTGCAGCGTTCGCACGGCGAAGACGCGTCTGAGCTCGGAAACCTTCTCATCGCTGGCGCGAATTTTCTCACCGAGCGCGACGCGTCCGAGCGCGTTGGATCCGCGTCCCTGCGCCAAGAGAGAGTCGCGAGCGCGCTGCGCCTCGATGAGCGCTTTATCGCGGTCCTGAACCTCCAGGGCCAAGCGCATGACTCGAGCCATACGTTTTTCGCGCTGCACCTTGGGCATCGGAAACGGTTTCAGCACCTCCGGAACGCCCTTGTCCCCGAGCTTGACGCCGTTGATGCGAGCCCAGACGCCTTTCGAATATTGCGCGACCTCTGAGAGCGACTCTCGCGGCTTCTCCTTGAGCTGGGTGATGCCGCCCCCGACAACCTCGGAAGCGCCCCCCAAGCGCCTAGATGCGAAGCGGCCAATCTTTCTTTGGAACGGTCGAAACGCCGAGCCAACTTGTCCGCCCTCGCCCTCCTCCTCTATCGCCGCCAAGAGCGCGGCGCGAGTGCGCTCCAACGCCGTCTCGGCCTCATCCACCGAGGCGTACGGGAGCAGAGCCAAGAGCTCGGCGTACCTCGCGTCGGCGCGCGCCTCGAACTCGGCGAACAGCGTGGATAATTTCGTTCTAGATTCCTCGGGATCCTCGAAGAGAGAGTCCCAACCGCGCAACGATAGCGTCTGCGGCGCCGCCTTGAGCTTGTCCCGCTCGAGCGCGAGCGCCTGGAGGGCGTCCACGAGATCCTCCAGCCCCCGCATCGCCCGCTCGAGCTCCTCACTCATCAATTCGTACTCCGTCAGCGCTCTGAGCTCGCTCCGAGTCATCGAATCCACCCCTTCCGCGAGCGTTCGATCGCACGCCACCGCCACCCCGTACAGCTCGCGCATCTGCGTCAGCGCCTCCAAACGATCCAACCGCTTCGCCGCATCCGCGCGCGCGACCCCATCGCTCCGCAACGACTCCCCACCCGCGCTCGACAACCGACTGAACGCGAACCCAGGGCTATTCGGATCCCCGAAC